CCTCTCTCCCCGGCATCCTTCGTGAGTCCCTTCGTCCAGTGGTACACAGTGAAGGCACTCGGCTGTTAACTGAAAGGTTGCAGCTTTGGATCCACCCAGAGGCCTCAGAAGAAAGGCCTGGCAATCTTCTGAAAAATCACCCATCAAAAACCCTATGGAGCACAGGTCTCCTCAGACACATGGGGTCCCCTGTCTTTGTGTTTGGTCTGGTGTAGCCACAAGGCTTCTCCCCAGGATCCCAGTGTGTAAGGCCGGGTTTAGCCATGGGAAGCTTGTCCAAACCCTGTGCCTTGAGCCTCTCTTAACCCCCCACTCCACTGGAGAAGAAAGATCCCAAACTTTCCACTCTGCCACCTGCCACTGCATTCCCCTGGTCAGTGACGTGGCCCCTCTGAGCCTCACTGTCCCTACCTGTAGCATGTCCCTGCTCCCGGGGCTGACAGCTGTCCCCCCACCCCAGGTTTGTGGGCCTGCCTCTGAGCCGGTGGCTGGGTGTGCGGAACCATGTCCAGAGGCCTGTGGCTCCCAACCCCGTTCTGGAGAGACACTTCCTCACGCAAGGGCGAAGACCCAAGGAGGTGAGAGCACCTGGCTGTCCTGCGGCAGGGAAGATCAGGGCAGCCTTTGGCACCCCCAGTGTCCCCGCCCTGCAGTCCACCTGGACCCACAGCAACCAGCATGGCTGCCCCGTGGGAGGGCCCTGCACTGGGGTCAGGCAGGTTTCTGTCCTGTCCTGGGAAGGAGTGGGATCCTCCTTCACTCCCACCCATGGGTGAGGCTGCCACTCTGGGTGGACACCCAGGGAGTCTCTTGTGGTTCTTCTCCATCTGTCCCCATTGTAGGTTGGGCTGCCCCAGGGGCAGTGGGAGGACCCCGACTTTGCTGGCAGGGGTGCAGGAGTGCCTCTGTGGGATCCTGCCCCCAGTCCCTTCAGTGCTTGGCTGCCCTGAGAGGCAGGGGAGGAGAGGGTGGGATAAGGCCCCTGCTCTGGGACCCCACTCCACCCCCACAACCGTAGATGGAAGGTCTTCCCTGTCCTGGGGCAGGGACGGGACAGGAAGCCACCATGGGACCCTTTGACCCTGGTGCCACCCCACCATGGGACCCCATGACTCCACCCTTAGCCCCAGCTGGCCCTTCTGGCCACCCAGTGTGGCCTCACCCTGCGGCAGACCCAGCGCTGGTTCCGGGACCGCCGGAAACAGGACCAGCCCCACCTAACCAAGAAGTTCTGTGAGGCCAGGTAAGCCTGGGGCTGGGGCTGGGGGGCCGGTCTGGGCGTGTTGGGTTGGGGCCTGCCCTTCTGGCATCTTCCTTATGGGCTCCCCTCGTCTGCAGCTGGAGGTTCTTGTTCTATCTGTGCTCCTTCGTGGGTGGCCTCTCGGTCCTGTACCACGTGAGTGTGCCCAGCTGCTCACCCACTTGCCCCACCTATCCCACAAGCACCTGCTGTGGGCTGGCCAGGGCTGGGTGTGGGGGAGAGGGCCTGGGGGGTGCCAACCACGGGAAAAGCATGTGCAGAGAAGCACAGAGGTGGGAGAGAGCTTGGCGAGGGGCGACTGTCCACTCACAGGCACCTGTCGAGGACCTGCTGTGCCCCAGGAGCGGGCCCCTGCAGTGAACGAGTCCCCATAGAATGGGAGGCAGATGTGTAACCAAGCAGGAGAAAACAGGGCTAAGTGAGAGTGGCGCCTGGGGGGTGTCCCAGACTTGGGGGGGGCTGGGCTCTTAGGCATGGGCAGCCTCAGACTCTGTTTCCTACAGGAGTCATGGCTGTGGACACCGTCAATGTGCTGGGACAGTTACCCAAACCAGGTGAGCA